GTTACCCAGAGAAGTCATGGAATCCCTTTCCTGACAGGTTTTCAAGACCTGACTGGACAAAGCCCTGAACAATGTGGTCTGAATTCAGTGTCAAATCTGCCCTGTGGAGAAGATTGGACTAGAAACCTCCCAATGTCATTTCCAACTTGAATGTTTCTGTATTTAAACACCACCAATGAATTTGGAGTCAGTTAGGAAACAAGAAATAGATTTATCTTAAAATAATTGAATAAAACATTGATTTCTCCATTTTTAAAAGCATGCTTTGGAAGAAGTCAAAATAGCATGACCTGCCGGCCAAGACAGAGTTTTATGAATATGAGAGGAAGATAAATAAACAGGCAAGAAATTACCAGGTTTTATAGCATCATTCTGTTACCCAAATGCCATCTCAGCACTGTAGCTAATTTGGCCCTCCTGATGCCCCTCTGAAGTGTCCCTCTGAAATACGTTCAGTGTAGTACAAGCAGTAGCTGATTTTTCCTGTTCCTGTCTGACCCATCCTTTGCCTATGCTTGCTTTTTAGTTTGGCGGACTTTGTCAATCTAAGAAACCTCCCTTCAGTAAGAGCACAGGGTCAGCTTTCTGTCTGTGAGGATAGGTTAGTTTTGACAGTTGGTTCTTCCAGAGGCTCCACCACTGTGCCCTCCCTCTGTCATCCCCAACTGAAACATATGGGGTAGATTTCCCCGCACAGAACTTTACTACAAATGTCCACAGTGCAGACTTCCATATCTGAGCTAGCCAATGTACCTTCCATGAAAGTGCCTTGTGATCAGTGGAAACACAAAATTTAGAGATCTCCACCGACCTATTTTAGACTTCTACATCAGAATGAGACTAATCACAGTGCAGGTGTCTGCATTTGCCAGAGGGAAAACACCCATGGTATTTGCATTGTGCTCATATTGGAACTGGGTCTTTCATCTCAGCTAGACTACAAAAGCATAGTAAATTGTACTATGGCATCCATAAAGCACTCTCATGCAACTTATGGCTACTGGCAAGCTAAGCTAGAATTAAATCAACGTGCAAGAGAGGGGGAAAGTATTTGTAAGCCATTAGCATTCTCCCACGCAGTCTGGTTCCCACCAATGAGATGCTGTGCCAGTTACCTCTGCAGTAACACTACATTGCGGACCTAGCTCAGTATTCAGTCTAGTTCATGCTCTTATGACAAACAACAGACGTTCTTTTCAGCAAGTTTCCACTGATCTTCGCTATGTCATTTGTGTTGGATTTTCCTGCCATAATTAAATATCATAATTAAATATTTTCTTTCCTTTTTTTATTAATTTATTTGAATTTGTCTTCCCTGCAATAGGAGCAAATTAACTCAGCCATTGGCAGATATTCTTCTTCATTCCATTCTCACCACTGAAATCTTACAAGTACTGGTGAAACTAGGTAATTTTCCTTCTGTCCTTACCCCTCAAGGAACGTCACAGACCACTGTGTAATTTGCATGCACCTCTCGAATGACAAACTATGGAAAATTTTCCTAGTGTAAAAGTAAAAATGTCCATCCACGTTTCTCCAATGGTCCACCCTTTAAACTTTTTCTGAAGATTTTTCTCTCTTCTCCCTCAGGCATGTTCTTCCCTTAAAAAAAATTTAAAAAACCAGTTCTGCTGTTTTACAGAGTGTCAGTAATGCTTTTGGGCCAGAATTAGAATTGTTCTTATATATTATCCTGAATAACTATGGTTAAAATAAGGATTTTTCATCACTTAGGAAAACTATGACAGAAAAGGAATTTTAAAGCTTTTGTTTTAAACTATCAAAACTAGTAGGAAACTTTCTGGATAAAATCGTATGCTGTCAAAGGATGGGCTTATGTTTCAGAAGACGCCCCATCACATTTCCAAAAGAAAAAGACTTCTGGAGTGACAGCACAGCTGCATTAACATAAAGGAGAAAGTTGCCCTTTATTGCATTGAGATCCAGATTTTGCTCTTTTTGTTGAAATGAAAGAAAAGTATGGAAAATAGTCTCAAAATCTTGGGTAAAGTTGATATCTTAGATAAACACAAGACCTACATGCTTTCCAATGATCTATGTTTCCCCATATATTTGGGGTTCATGTATTTTTCCCAAACATACTTGTTTCTGTTTAGGCGACAGTCCTTGAAGAATAGGGAGGAATTTACAGTTAGACAGTCCAAGGCACCTCACCTTGCAGAAGAGACCAATCTCAGTATCTGTTTTTGGTCAGCTGAGAAAGAAGGGATCTCCCAAGAGGGTGACTGAGAACAGAAGACTAGCTTAGTCTATCTTAGCCTAGCTTAGCCTAGACAAACTATCTTTCTCACTAGCCACATAAAGTTAAGAAATGTGAATACCACTTCACAACCTTTAATCTGATCATGTTGGTCTCTGTGTGTGCTGTCTCCAATTTGCAGTGGTGTAGGCTGAGAGAGAAAGTTCATTAATTTCCTCTTCATCATGGAAATGCAATGTGGCAGAAGCTGAGCAGAACCCCAGGGTAGTTGCAACCCACACCTCACCACAAACCACGCTTCCTGAAACACTGCACCAAAATCTTTCAGCCAAATACCAGTTGCCACGCTTTACATGTATATGCAACAACAACATGTTTCTCATTCAAGAAAGGGGAAAAGATAAAGTCACTGGAATCTCTTACGATGTCTTTTGTGCAACATCACCATCATAGATAACAAAGAACTGCCTGGTTATACCTGTCTACTGAGACACCTCACTAATTCAAACAAAAGATCATCCTTTAGTCTGAAAAAACATTTACAGGAATGTGCCACAGCTGGAAGCTATTATGCAGGCCTTGGAAATGTTTGTCAGCAGAATATCAGTTAAACAGGTGTATGGTGATGGCTAGGGCACATAATAGACTCATTAAGGTTAGCTTCAGTATCAGTAACACAGATTTTAGTGTTTCAAATATCTAGTTCTTTGGGCTTGAAATCTGTTAAGGCTTTTTTTTGAGATCTAACGTCATCTATTTTGATGTACATGCTAAGGAAGAATGCAGATATAACAAGGTCTTCCAAAGATGTGACTGGAAAGATATCTATCTAAAGGGACTAACATCAGCTGATGGGAGCCAATCTCCTAAGGTCTCTTTATGTGGTGCCTCCCATCCAGGTCCTATCTGGCTTCTCCAGATGGTGATTTGGAGTAGACTTAACCTATATGTTTGCAGTCATCTCTGTTCATCTCCATTGCCTGAAGTAGTGGCTTTAGGGAGACTAACTGCTTTAGGCTAGGTATAGCCTAAGTGAATACTCCTGCAGGGAAAAATGCAAGTTGTTCTAGTTTTCCTCACTGTAGAGGCCAGCTCATCCACATCTTATAAAGATTGTTAAAGACAGAAAAGGTACTCCTGTAAAAAATTCTTTTCACAGAGACTACTGGCAGATATTTCTGCTCAAAGTTTGAGGCCTGTCAATGGGAAAAGATCCTGGAAGATAAAGATGTGGTGGTAATCATGGTCAGCCATAGGTTGGATCATATTGTGATTGATCATTAGTAACTAGTGTTAAAAAAAAGCTGTAAGAGAGGCAAATGTGACACTATGAGGTACCAGACAACCAGAGGTATTTCCAGAGAGACAGAGTAGTTGTACAGGCCTGCATAGGACCATCTCTGTAACACAGTGGTACGTTTCTGTTCAGGAATGCTGAACTGCTAAAATAGATGCAGAAAAGGGCAACTAAATGTAGTGAATGAAGAAGTTTTCTTGCAATAAGAAACTCAAAATCCCTTCTATGTTCAGTCCAGAAGAAAGAAGACCAAGCAGAGATATGATTTCCCTGCAGAAATACTTAAGAGAGAGAGAGAGAAGAATCACTTAGGGCAATGCTGGTGAAAGAACACTTGATCAGAAGTTGCCAAGTGTAAGTTTAAGCTAGTTAAATCAGAGTTTCTCTCAAAGGAGTGAGTTTCAAAGGCAGGCTTGAGAAAGAAGAATTGGCAAAATTCCTAAGTAGCTTTAATGCATATATAAGCAGGATATTATGGTGTGGCTGCCTCCAGGAGTGGAGGACAGCACTTGATGACTCAGTCCTGTGTTTCTGTCTGTCTCCTATTAATCCTTGGCTTTAAAAAAGCAACAACAAGAAAATACTGTAGCTAGAAGCTAATCTGAAGCTAAAGATTTTTCTGCATCAACTATGTGGACTATAAATGTAACAACAAAATAGCAAAAGGTTATGTTTGTCCAGGCTAAAAATATATTCCAACACTAAAAGCAACTGTTACTCAGTGGAAGCCAGACTGTGATATTTAACAGGTTTTAATGGCCATGGAGATAAAGGAAAGCAATACCCGGGATACCTATCAACATTTCAAGATACTTCCATATACTTTTAGATACCCCCTATCTCCAGCTCTGCCACTCTACTCAAAGTGAAATTGCTTTCAATTAGGTAATTCTAACTTTGTCCTGCTTCTCAAATGTGAATTGTAACAACAGGAGGCCATAGCAAGCCATAAAAGTTTTGTTTGTTGGGGCTTTTTTAACTTCTGATTCAAGTTTTCTGAA